GGTGGAGCAGGAGCCGTGGCGGCGCGGCGCGGCGCTCTCCTCCGGTGCCACCCGCAGGAAGGCCTTGACCTTGTGGTGCCGGGCCTTGCCGTCGCTGAAGTCGATCACCCGGCACTCGTAGGTGCCCTCGTCCGTGGGCTTCACCCGCGACAGGCGCAGCTTGTGCGAGATGTTGCTGCCGACCACCTTCACCACCTGCAGGGAGAGAGCGGGCGCTGAGGGCGGGCACCGGGGCACGGTGCCACCTGCCCCCCTCCCGGCGTCTGCTCTGCAAGACCCCGGGAGGGGACACCCTCCTTCTGCGCTCCCCACCGGCTCCCGGAGGCACTTTGCAGGAGCCGGTTGAAAAGGGAAGTTTTGGTCGTGGCAGAGGTGCCAGGGAGGGGACACGTGCTCGGGGGAGAGGGGCATCGGTCGCTGCAGGGCACAGTCTCTGCACCAGACCTGAAACGCCGGAGGCTGCACAGGAGAGAGGAACGAGGGGGAAAGCCCTGCCCCTGCCCCGACCCCGTCCCCATCCCTTCCAAAGACCCGGGGCAGGACGGACCCACGAACTGGCAGGTTTTATGTTACGCTCTTAAGCCAGGGAGCTCCCGGGCCAGGCGTCCTCTCCAGCCAAGCGAGGCTGGCTCTGCAGCACCTGCCCCAAGGGCTGCGGGGAGCAGAGAGGAGCCGAGGCCCTGGGCCCCACGTCCCCGGTGCGGGCGGACGCGGCAGGCAGGACCCTCGCCGTGCAAGGCTTTGCACGAGGGAGAGGAGCGCGGTGCCCTGGAGCCTGCGGCCGAGCAGCCCCAGTCTGAAAGCTGGCCCCGCGGCCACGGCCACATCGAATCCCCGGCAGCCTCCTGCGCGGAGCCGGGCCCCGAGATCGATGCAGAAGCACGCAGGCTAATTAGCTTTTCTACCAAATTGATTCGCTCTCAGTATTTATCACCCAATGAAATTTAAGACTTACTCACTCGCCAGAGCTGCCACTGCAATGGGGTTAGGTCAATAAATCGGATTTATAGCCCGCCCCGAGGCCCCCGGCTCCGCTCCCTCCATCGCGGCGGCTGGGAAAGGCCATTCCTCTCCTGGACACCGCATTTGTTACCGGGGGATTTTGGGCTGCACGGGGAGCCACGAGCCCCTGCCGGGGACCTGGGCTGGGAGACGGTCATCGGCCTAGCCGAACGGGTGGACGGCGAAGCCGTGCGTGTGCTGGGCTGCATGCGATGGTCCTGCGGGGCGGAGGGGCCGTGGAGACCCCCCGGCCGCTGCCCTCTGTCACCGATTCCCACATCCCCCCATCTGCCCACGGCCCTCCAGCCAGCCAGGACGGAGTCTGGGCAGTAGGGGCACGGACACGGCGCTCATCCTCCCTGGAGTGCCCCATGGAGCGGAGGACAATGTCTGGCACCCATTTCACAGAAGGAGAAAGCGAGGCTCTGAGACACAGGTGATGTCCCCTCCCCCCGGGAGCGCACAGGCGCTGTCCCACTGGAAATGCAACCACGTGCCCGGGTCTTCCTTGCTGGAAAGGCTGCGGGCAGGTGAGCGCATGGGCTGGCACCCACGCACCACGGCAGGGGCTGGAGCTCCCCGGGGGCCCGGGCCGGGGCGGGAGCCGCGGGGCCCAGGGGCGGGGGGGGAGCCACAGCTGCAGGCTGGGAGGGCACGAGGAGCACGGCAGGGAAGCAGCGCGGCCTGCTTCCACACTGCATCGCCAGGACAAGAAGTCACGGCCGGCAGGCGTCAGGCTAAGAAAAGGCAGCCAGGTCTGCTGCGCGGGCAGGCGCCAGCCCGTGGAGCGCCCCGTGCTCCGGTCATGGAGGCCCGTCCCGCAGGGACCCGCGAAAGGGCCGGGCGATTTTGTGCCCCCCGATGACGTCTGCAGCGTGGGTGGGCAGACCGGCTGGGCCGGCGCTCCCGGCTGCTATAGCAAACCCACTGCACTACAGGGAAGCAGGCCCCGCGGGCACATAACTCTGCCCGCCGGCAAGCGGCTGCGCCACAAATCACCGAGCTGTTACCGCAGCCACGGGAGAAAACTGCCCACCCGCCGCAGCCGTTTTGCTTGCTGGCTCCCTTGGAAATGCCACACAGGTGTGGAGAGGGAGACCGAGAGCAGAGCAGGGTCCCTCTCCGTCAACCCTGCTCCTCCTCTCCGGCCGGGTGGGGCGAGCGCCGGGCCCAGGGCTGTGTCTGGCGGAAACCCTTGGGAGCTGCCTCCCAAATTTGGGCCTTTTCTAGGACAAAGAGCAATTTATTATCCGACCAAGTGCATTTTGGTGGATAAAAAATGGTAAGGGGGCTCCTAATGCAACGGCTTCGGTGCCTGATTCATGTCGCTCTGCACCGTGTGATGCTGCCATTTGTTCTCACTCGATTTACCCTTCGCCTGGCACGTGTGTTTTATCAGGGCCCTTTGTGCCGCCGCCTCCTCTTTGTTCCTTTCTCCTTCCAATTTGCTCAATGTTTAATAATCAAGGACATTTAAAATAACGAGGGGAGGGGGGGAGAGCAGAAAATCCACTTTTTTCCAAACCGAGCCTCTCCCCCACAGCCCTGATGGGTTGCAAACGGAGGCAGCGTCACGCCCAGCCTGCCTGGAAATAAATCATAGTTACACATGCAAATGCACTGATTACATCCAGGCATGCAATTAACTGCCTAATTATGCTGAAAAATGCAATTGTGGAGTAAATAGAAGACCCCACCCCAGGATCACTCAGCTGCGCCCGAACCCTTCCCTGCTTTCCATCTGCTTCCCTTTGCATGCTCCCCTCCGAGGGGCTGGGGCGGGGAGAGGGGGTTGCTCTCCTGCCATGCCTCACCAGGCGTTTGCTCCCGACTGCACCCCGCGCAGGTGCCTGGGTTGGTGCCCGAGCTCAGAGGTCAGGGAATGGCCGGTGACTTGGGTCTGCAGCCGAGGGCCACGGGCACAGGCTGGGGGAGCAGCCCCCAGGCTCGGGGCCCAGCCTGCCGGGGCAGCTGGGCAGCGTGTGCAGTCAGGGCTCTGCGTAGAAACCAGACCCCAAAGCTCGGGGGTTTCCCGGGAGGTCTGGGCCCCCCCGGACCAGAGCTCGAGAGAGAAAGGGTGCAAGGAATGGGTCGGAGGGCGTCAGCGTGTCCACGACCCCCCTGGTGCACAGCAGCGGCGACCGGGTGTGTGCACACGCCTGTGGCACGCTCCTC